ACTACTTTCATGTTTGTTGAAGAGGATTTGAATAATTTTTTGCAAGAAGCTTCTTTCTCCTGTCATAAGCTAAGTTGAGAAACAGGTCTGGCACACCGAGAACCTGCTGTCCCCTTCTGAGACAGTCTCCCATCAAACTAAAAACAGAAAACATTACTTCAGCAAGCAGTGGAAACAGAGCAGTCTGGAGTTTGCAGTCATTTATATCACATTTAGTCTCACAGCAAAGTGTTAGGAGGCTAACAAGACAATCATACCTTGATTTTCGTTGTGTTGGGTCACTTTTGCCTTTGAAAGACTGAGAGAAGGTGAGCTACTCCTGACATGGAGAGATGGGCAATTTGAGCAACATGATCCTGCTATTGAGAAGATTTGTGAGGGAGAGGCAGTGGGGAAGAAGATGACCCAGTCCTGTGTATATTAGTGTGTGATGTCAGTCATGCTGAGAGACAAGTGTCTGGAGCATCTGAGAAACCAGGGAATCCTGTTTGTTTGGGATGGAAATACAATTAACTTGTTGTTCTCTGCCTGTGTGAGCAGCAATGGAAACGTGCTTTAAGTGATGTACACAGGGTACAGTTCTTGATTCTCCTGGTATCAACAGCCTGAATGAACAAAACTGGAAGTGAGTCAAAAGCCTGGTACAGATCCAATGGGAATGGAGTTGAAAGTTGGGACCTCCTCTCCTCTAGCAGACTTTTCTCTGTGACAGCAGGAGGGTGATACTTATCCATGGTGTAGGTTTGGTAGTAGTTGCATACCTCCTTTTCCGTACACCTTTAATAAGAATCTGTGGGAAAGTCAAAGGCTTTGTAGAACATAAAGGTAGCTGCTGAGAAACTGGCCTTTGTTTTCTTAGGGGTTGGAAGTCAGCAGTGGCAGACAGAAGGGTGTTACCTTACCTCCCTCCTCATCAAAGCTTCTGTGGGGTTTTTTCAGGTGTAATTTATGAAAAGCTGAGCAGTAGGGACCTCTCCACTGAACCTCTGCTGGGTTGCATCCCACTTTTTGGCAAGTAGTATGGTAAAACATTTCTCTGTACAAGGTCAGATTAATCTTTTTTTATGGAGTTTCACATGAATGCTTTGCTTTGGGATTGTTGTTTCTCATGCATAAATCTTTATTATACCAATAGTCTACAGCCCCAGTGAACCAAACAAAACTCAGTTTTATTCTTCTCAGTATTTATCACCACAGTGAGAGAACTCCATTGAAAAGCAACTGTGAGAGTTTCCAGCAGGTGTGGTGGGGGTTTAGGTACTGTGAACCTTCAGTGAGTTCATCTTTCTTCCTTCTGAATTTGAATGGTATATGCCAAGCTGGGTCTGGCCCCAGATTGGGCATCATTCCCTTTGGGATGATACTGAGGATGGAGGTGAAAATGACCTGTTGGATGTGCTGTGGGCTAGAGGAGCAGGCTGTGCACATGTCCATGCCTGCACTTTACTCTGGTGAATAGCAGGACGTGCTGCAGTGTGCAGGGCCTGCTTTGCCGCCAGCACAGGCTGACGCCTTGCTTGCTGCTTTCCCAGGTGTTGGTTTGGGTTCAGGTACAGCTCTTCTTTAGAAGGGGGATGACAGATGAGCTGACATGCAAGTGCTTGAAGCTTTTACCAGGTGATGAGTGTGAAGCCTCTGCACTGAGGTTGATCTCACTTAATTAACGTTTGTAATGAAAGATACAGCACAGGTCTCTACTGTCTGCACACATGGGGATTCCTAATACTTGTTACTTATCTGTGATATAGCCATGTGGGCTCTGTAAATGCTTTCCTATGTTAATAAAGATAGAATTAGATGCTCTATACTTTTATATAAAACCAAAATGTTTTTCTATAGAGATAAAGGATAATCCTTATCTATGTTTTCGTTTTCTGAACAATGTACATTAGTTTTGGTTCACTGTATGGTTTCCAAGATTTACAGTGCATGAAACCAAATTCCCAGCTTGGAGGGCCCTCTCAGTCTGTGTAGGGAAAGACTTCGGCATGATACATAACCATCACTGAGAGGATTTTTGTTTTGATGTTTTCTAAATTTTGAGTGCTTGACTCCACAATTTTGGCATCTTTTTCTGATGTCAGAGTTATGCCTATTTCTCTAGTATGACCTGAGGAAGTCAGGAGCACTGTCAGGGTCTTGCCAGAAGGTCCAGCCTCCTTCACTGGACACAATGGCACACCTGGCAAGAGCAGCTCTCTGCTCCAGTCTGAAGCTGGTAGCTTTTAGCAGAGTTGGTGTTGTAGGGGGAAATACTCTTGAGATGTGAAATTTCACTGCATTTGTTACCAATTAAGATGAAATTTTAATTGCTGTTCCTAGTATTAAGAAATAATGACATATGTTATTATTTGTGACATATAGGGATCAGTGCAGGATGGTTTTCTTTTATGGCCACTCTTTATTTCTTGCTCTTTTTTTTCCATGGCTCCAGCATGGGGTCCTCCCCTGGCCACCATCCTCTCAAAGGCCTCATTCCTCCTGGGTATCCGTGTCCACAAGTGTCTCCTGCCTGGATTGTCTGCTGCTTGTAGGTCCAGTTTTTCTAAAACTTGTAGCCAGACCATATCCTAAGCCAAACCATTCCCCGTCTGCTGTTAAGAAGTGTTCTCACTTGGGGTAGCCTTTCTCCTGCAGTCACTCCCTGGCTTCATCTGTACTCTCTCCATGATGCTGCATGCACAGTAGGGAGGAAATACTTTCTTGAGAGAACAGGAAAAACAGGTCCCTAAGTTTTATTCCAGTTGCTGGACATACCCCCTGTTCCGGGTCATGTCCTGTGAAGTGGGGCTGAAGGTTATTGGCTTTGGAGAGATGGCAGAAAGGCACCACAGAAGCAGAAAAGATCTGTGGGATGGTTTGTGGCTTGTCTGGTCATGTGTGAGCATGTGGGTGTACGATTTGCAGGCTTTAGCTGCTGAGCCCTTTCATCTCTATGATGTGTGAAATTCAGACTCTTGAAAGCAAATAACTTTTCCACAACATCCACTCGTAGCTGGGTAAGACAAAAGGCTGAAATTTCTGTGCCTGAAATTGAGCTGCACTGTGTCAGGTCCCTGCTCTAAACACTGCAGTATGAGAGGATTTCAAATTAAAGCACCAGAAATTTAACCTGGGAAGAATAGGATACTTTGCTCTGCTTCATTCTTAGAAGTAATTGGAGTGCTATTTTTGACGTTCTTCCAAAAGCTTTTATCCTTTCGACAGAAACAAGCACAGAATATATCAGCACAGACAATTAAGGTTTGGCAAAATGATAAGCTGATGAAACTGAGGTCCTGTGGTAGGAAATGCTGATCACTGTATATAATGGGTAACAAACAGTCTTTCTCCTTTGTTCTAGAAATTGTGTCATGCAATCCTGTCTATGCCAGGGAATTTCACAGGGAGAAAATGGTGTTCGCATGCACATTTTGGATAAGTGATGCTTTTATGGATGAGCAAAAAAGTACTCTACAGCCAAACAGATAGAGCAAAGTGTCTATGCATCTTTGCAAAGAGGGATACGCTTTGTCCTGTTTCATATAATGCTATGCAGCAGGCTAAAATTGTAAAAAATAAGCAAGCTGCACCAAGACAGGTTTGCAAAGCCATACAGAAGGTCAGTGTTGGGTGGTAATGATATGGAAATCAGCTTGGATCATGGGCATAAATGAGGTCTGTGATGCAAAACTGGGCAGTAATAGGATCCAGTATTAGGGTCAGGCAGGTGTGAAAATACTGGTGATGAAAATCTGAAAATAAATAATTTAAGATTCATGGGGCAAAATGCAATGACTTCTGTAGACACGGTAATTGTACCAGGGAAGAAAAGTATTTTCCCCTTTGTGACTTTTTGCCCTCCATTCAGTCACATAAATCCATGGGTTCAAAGGTTTGGTTTTGGCTTACCAGGCAGTGCAGAAATTCTGATAAAGGCTTAGTAGCTATTAAACTTTTATAGGCTTGCAGCCTTGTGGTTGAAGAGACAGTAATTGCGTTTTTCTCTTGGGGATGGGATTCCAATTAAGTCGGTGTTGCTCAGTGTTAGAATTCCACCCTTACAGGTTGCTAAGTGTGTGAATTTTGTGTTATGGGGAGCTGGACCTTTGCCTCAGCCTAAAAAGTTTCCAAAATTGCTCTTTCCTTTACCTACCTATGCAAAACTCAGTTTCATTTAATGCTCTGATAGTGCTCACTCTAAAATCTGCAAGTGCTGTGTTGATGCTGCTGCAGATCCATCCAGTGGGGGAACAAAATGCAGAGGATGTGGTTTCCCAGAGGTGTTTGGCATTGCCAGCAGTTCCTGTCACTGGAGTCAATCAAAAAAGAGCTGAGGGCTTTATAGAACCTACCTGAAATCCCTGAGTTAAAAGTTTTTTATCCAGTCCTTCAAGCTTTTGACTCCTGGATTTTAGGCAGTTCTATGGCTTATGAGAAGAAAGAGAGGTGGCCCATCTTTGCTTTGATGTCTTCAGTAGAAATCAGCTCCTTTCACCTGAAACTCATGGGTGATTTGTGTAGCTCCCTGAGACTGCTCATAAAGCTAACTTGGTACACCTTTCACTTCCCCCTTGATCCCATAATTACCCTTGAAAGGAGCTGTGACTTAATGATTTATGGCCCAGGCTACCTTCTCTTGCCGTGGGAAGTTAAGCTGTGGATTTCATGGATATCATTGGATATCATCACTAATATCCAGTGGGGAAAAAAATAAAGAAAACCTAGCATGGGAAGACTCCTCCAGGTTTGCTGTCAAAGAGAGCACTGGCTTGCTCTTGGTGGGGTTTTAGGCTGTTCTACTGAAGCCAGTGCTATAAATGAGCCATGCCTATGCCCAGACACTGTGGTGTTATCTGCTTTTTCAGTTGCAGCAGCTTTGTATCCTGCTGCCTGTATGACTCCCACTCCCCATTCTGCATGATCTGCTGAATGTACTTGCTGTGCATCCAGAAAAAGCTGAAATAGATGTTGATGGCTTTTGCTTTTGTTTTATCCCCTGTCCTTTCTTCTTTTGACAGTTTTTTATCATGCTGTTAATTATATTTCTGTTGGAGCTCACTGTTGTGATTCTGTTCTTCGTCTACACCGACAAGGTAAGTCAAATTCTTCATTTTTCTTTCCCCTTCAGCAAATTTATATGCCCCTTTTCCCTATAAATAAATCATGAAGCACTTGGCTTGGTATGCACATCATGCTTCTGTCTTCCTTGAGACACTCCTCTCAGAAGGAGCTCTCTCAGAATGCATAAGCAGCCTGGCAGGACTGTGCTGTCTTGCTTGCTCAAGTGTACAGCTCAAGGTCACAGATACTGCCAAGTGCATCTGTCATTAACAAAAGAAAAGGGAACAAAAACCACACAAAAATGCCCACAAACAAATGCCAAAACACCCCACAAAAAAAGGCAAAAAAGCCAACAAACCTTACTAGGAGCATGTAGGAAGAGATACCCATCAGAGTGAGTTTGATTTTTAAAAATATGTTTATGGTTTAAGAGCCGCATTGATACCATTAAAAAGGGAGTGTCCTCAGCACAGGCAAAGGCATAAAATTCATTATCTTTCCACACTGCTCCTTGCAGCCCATGTGTACTTAGAGCCTTGTGGAAAGCCAGGGTAAATGCATAAAAGTTCAATAAACACAGCTTTTGTTTGTGCTTTCACATTTTCCTTATGTTTTACAATTGTTCCTTCAGTTGTACAAGCAATATTGCCTATTTAAATTTTCTTTACCCCTTTCTTTTAAAAAATCTTACATTAATAAATCCAAAACAAGGGCATAATTGTGTGCTACCTACTTATTCAAAGTCAAAAATCCCTTACAATTGAAGACCGAGGGAACTTAATAATCACAGAGAAGGTGACAAAATTTTACCATGAATTAACATTCATCAGGTACATGAGTGGTAAACACTTTCTTTAAGAATGGAAAGACAACAGCAAAAAAAACAACCCCGAAAACAACACTTGTGTTCATTAATACATAAATTATTAATATAATTAGTAGTATATTAGTGATACAAGTGATTATATATTAGTCATACCAGTGAGTGATTGTCAGATGCACTTCTGAAGGACTTCGAAGAGCTAGGTTCTATAGCATTCTGTAGCTGGAACATGGAATTAACTTGCCAGGTAATTGTAGTAGAAGGGACAATTTAAAATTACTTGTATGCATTATTGGATTCTGAATTACTTGTCAGCTCTTGGCAGAACTCATACAGGAGTAAAGGCATCTACTTAATATGCAATGGGCCTCTAAAACCCAAACACAACACTTGGTTATGTTTAGAAAGAAAATCACTTAGAAAATATTATCATATCATTGTTTAACAGACTTGCCTCACTGTGAATATAATGTTGAGTTTTGGTTACGGAGATGATTAGATGTGTGAGAAAGGTGGAAGAGAGCTGTCATGAAAAGGGATTATGGAGATAACCTAGATTCAGTTTGGGAAATGAAAGAGATTCTCTGCTTAGGAGATTTTACAAAGAGTAATTATAGTAGTTTCTGAAATAATGGCAGATCTAAAATAAAGGCCTGTCCTGAACACAGACGAAATAAATGGAAATGTTTCTATTTTATTAGGTTAATAACCTATTTTATTAGGTTAATGAAATAAATATTTCTTATATTCCAAGTCAGTATCTGGTAGAACTCCTGTTGTTGGCTGTTGAGGCTGATAGATCAGTAAATGTGTGGGTATGAAGGAAAGAAAAGAAACCAATGAAGTATTTTTATTCATAAAGCAGTCAGTGCTGCTAGGTTGACAGTTGTGTCACAGAGAATGTTCATCCTCACCCTTCAGAGGTTAAAACAGTGAAAAAGTATCAAAAGGATTCCCTCCCTCCTTCAGCCTGTTGGTTTGCAGTGGGTTTTATTGATTGTTAATAAAGAGATCAGGAAATTAACTTTCCTCTGACTCACATACTGCAGGAGGTAGTACCCTGCAGTTGTCTGTAAGATCAAAACAGAGTCTAAAATATGGGCTCCAGTTCAAGTGCAGTTTTACTGAGTTAACAAATTGCTGTAGTCTGGGTATTGCAGATGATCAAATTTGAGGCTCTTAATGTTCCTGTATGACTTTAAATCTTATACTGAGGAAATCGATAGTTTGTGTTACACTTGCAGTCCTGCCTACTGCAGACTAAATAAACCACCAGCAGCCTAAAACTAATATTTTCATACAGCGTGCTTAGAGTTTGTGTGCTGGCTTTCCTGATGTGAAAAACAATATTGCCACGTGTGTGGGAAACAGTGAACCCAGACAAGTCCACCACAGTAATTCAGTTCATGTAGATCCTTGGAAAATCAGTGAAGGAATATTCTACACTGACACTTGTCCATCAGAAGAAAGTAGGGTTAGTTTTGTGTGCAGGAGAAAAGGGCTCTGCAGATGATCACTTTGGGCAGTACCAGCCACAGGGAGGGTGTGCATCTGTGTATATGTGGACACAGTGTGTGGGCTCCTGAGCAGTGAAGGAGTCTCTTGGTATCCATTGCTGGGGCTGTTGCTTTGGTGCTGTGTTAGTTACTAAAAAGAATCATGGCAAAAGTTCTTTACAGCTATTCAGTTTTTTGGCACAGGAGTTTTATTTGCTTGCTGTGGAAGGTGTGCCGCTGTGGAGGTGAAGTAGGACTCACAACAGCCTCAACTGACCTGTTCTCAACTGTTCTCATTTGTCAGCTTGGGAGAAGCCCAAAAATTGCCTCTGCCTCTCATTCTAGTGACTTGGTCTTCTCTGAGCTTTTAAGCAGCCAACTTGATCTTATGCCCTAGGATGTCATCTTTTCTTTTCTTGATGCATAAAGATTCATTTTGATCTAATGAGATAGATGCTGCCCTGAAGTTGAAAATTCTTTTTTCTGAGCTGGCTCTCCAGTGTGATGTCGTGAAGAGAGGGGGACTTGGAGAAAGCTCAGGAATCCACAGTGCAGGAAGGAAAAGGGGTAGTGCCTCGTCTCTTGTAACTGCAGTGTGAATTTCCTTGGCAGGGCCTGAGCTCACACCTTGTTCTTCCAACTGTCCTGACTAGTTGTGTTGCAAAATGTGAATCTCATGACTTCTGCAGAAGTGAATATGGGCTGTGATGGAATGCATTCCTGTAGGATGGTTGTCAGGAAAAACCTATAGCCCTTTTGTTTTGTCCTGGCTGTTCCCAAAGCAGCAGAGGGACTCGTTCATAGGCTGTGTTCAGCTCAGTGTGAGCACCTGAGGCACCTGGAAACTCCTGTGGGCATTTGCACACATTCATATACAAGTTCCTAAAGCTGGCTTTTAATTTTTTGAGGTCAGAAGTACCAGCCCAAGAGACTGGGTACTGAATGGACTTGGTGTGATTATGAGAACTAAGGCAGGTTGATATCATTACTGAGTGCAGTATTTTTTCAGGCTACATTTATGTCCCCATTTGAAGCAGTTCAAGCTCCAGTGACATTTCTGGAGTTATGTGGATGGTTATGTGCATGGCTACCTATCTATAGGCAGAATATTCTCTTTAGTATGTTTTATTTTGATTCCATCAATGGAGAGCAACATTTGGCGTTTTTATACGTTTGACATTTCTGTATGAGGCTCCGTGTGTATTTATAACAGATCCACAGAGTACTGAGAGGGCTAACCTTAATTTTATTGTGATAAGGGGAAAGCAGCAGAGCCCTATCTTGTCAGAGGTTGGATACTCATATTTCTCAACACTAGATTGGATCCTGCTAGAATGTAAATTATGCTAATAAAATGCACAGTCTTGTACTAGTTTTAACTTGTATAATCCTCCTGGTTTTAGTGTCTGTATTTATTTTTACTGTGATGGTTCTCCTGGAAGCATAGAAAAAGGAAAGTCCATATTTACTTTTTTGCAGCTGTAATAGGTGGGTTTTTTCAGTAGACGTCTGCATTTTATATGATTTACAGACAGAGCTGTGTAATACCCACAAATGAAAGAACATAATCAAACCACCAGAATGTGGGGCTGGCTTTTGTGTGCATTGTGTTTGGTGGGGGAGGGGGGAGAAGGCTGAAGTTGTTGGGTTTTTGTTTTGTTTTGTTTTTCTTATTTTTAAATGTCCAACATAACATGCAGCATAAGTAACACAAGTCAGGAAAGAACAAAAGCACTGAAGAATCACTGATTATGATATTTGATTATGGGAGCAGTTACTGCTATTGGCAACTTGAAGTTAAGATGAGAATTTTCAATAAAGATTAGGCCATTAACTCACTTGGGTCCCTGTGAAAATTACAGCCTAAATTCCATGCCTGCTTAGCTGTGTTGAAAATGGCCCACAGAATAGCCCACAGAGGATTGAAAAATAATGGGTACTTCTGTTTTTCATGAAATGTGTGAAAATGTTCTTGTTTTCCATGCTGCTCCAATATAGCTTTTGCTGCTATCTTATAAAAATATATTCTGCAGATTGATGCATTTCTTGCTTTGTTTCTGAAAAGAAATTGAAAATTGTTTTAATTCCTGATTGATATTTTGCCTCATCCCATACAAAGACAGCAGGCTGGAATTTAGTAGAATGATTTCAAGTACAGCTCAGCCCTCACAACCTCTTACACATTTGGCTTTAGAAAATGGAAAAACAGAATCTCTTCCACTTGCTGCACTCATGAACTGTTGCTCACAGAAATGATCAGATCCTGCTGAGCTGCTCACTGGTGTGAGGGAGGGACTCACAAAAACCTGATGGAATTATTCATATATAAACTTTAGTTCAAGTCTACTGCAGAGACTTGTTCTCATTGGGCTTCTGTCAAGAGAACTTAAAAGTTTTCCATGTTTGCATTTGACAGTGCAGCAGAAATGTCTCCTCGGGTAATGAAGTGCCTCATGTTCCCAGTCAGCACAGCCCACAGGCTGTCCAAAATGCACACACAGGGCATGTTAACATTGCTGAAAGTGGGCAAACAGAGCCTAAAGTGAAGAGACAAGATCACCCAAACTGTATGCAGTTTAGAGATGGTCTTAAGTTATTGGAAAGCAACAGGCTGTGGAAAATCCTGTGAAACCAGCAGAATGGTCCGTGCACCTCTGTTCAGTCAGGTGGCCCTTTTCTAGCAGTGTTTCTCCATCAGCATTTGACTTTACCT